CTTGTAAGGCAGGAAAGTTAAGAGACCGCAAGGTCCGGGGCTTAAATCTAAATTCCTATCCTTGATCGTTTTAGTTAATGATGAAGGGAAAGAAGCTGGAGTTCAGCAGTGCGAGGGACTTCAGGGTGTAAATTACACAGCATTAAAAAAGACACGTAAAACTTCTTGCCACAAAGCCTTTCATTCGCCGCTGCTGCTGCAGACCCAGCTTGTTCCTCAGTGAGGATGATTTACTGCAAGTTGTCTATAAGGTTGGTTCCTTAATTGGTTCCCTTCTATAGCCCTAATTTATTCCAAATGGCTGCAAGTTTGTGTCCATATTTATTTCACAGAGGGGATGTGGGTTGTTTTTTGATTCGTTTTAATGACATATATAACATATATAACATGAAAGTATATGTTCGAAACAGATGAAAAACGTATTTTTATACCAGCCTTGTGTTTAGTATTTTAGTAACTGTTTCAGAATGTAAAACAACAGAAATACCAAAATATTTTTGTTTGTATTTTTGTGTCAATCACATTTGTTTGTTTTTTCACTTTTGTACTGACGACCTCAAGAAACATTGTTTTTTTTCACTGCAGGATATCAAAGACCACTTTTTTCTCTTAAATATTTTTTGTTTTTAATCAAAAATGGATTCAACAAAGTGAAGGAAGCCTACTTCAGTCGATAACTTAGAACCACTTAGTGTTTCTGATCCCCAAGTCAATAAAACCTTCTAATGAGCCAGATGTCTAAAAAAAAAAAAAAAAAGAGAAGAAGCGGCTTGTGAGAGGTGGATTGATTGACTCGGATGCATTTGCTGCGACAGCGTTTAGCTTTAACGGCGGATGCAAGCTGCAAGCGCCTCTTCTGAAGGGCTCAGCGAGAATTCGCACAATCTCAAGGCGCTCGACAGCGTATTGTGTATGGAGGTATGTATTTACTGGGGCACTCTCTGTATACAAACTGAGATGAAGATACGTGATGTTTTCCCTGAGAGTGGCAGTAAGCCAAATCATTTGTACAGCATACTGAAAGCGGGATAATCAGCATACAGCGGAAGCTTCCGCTTCTGCCTTATGGATCACGGAGAAATGAATTGCTGCAAGCAGACAATAGCGTGACGCACCTGAAACTGTTTTCACCAAACATGCCATTAGCTAAGCGAGCATTAGACTTCAGGGTGTGTCTTCGCCCCCTACTGTTCACATGAGAGAGGTTCGCCCTGGATGACCCTGATATGGTTACAGTAGGCTTTCCTTTAAATAACCGGAACAGCTATGGCTTAGTTCAGCCAGTGGTGTGCAGCTGTGGTCACTGACTTACACTTGATCAGAAGGTGACAACGTCAGCATGGTACTTAACCCACAATGCTTCAGTAAAAAGCTTTTCGAAATATGAAACAAAACTACATACTATGTCATTTGTACCAGGAAAATGCGACATGAAAAAATAATAAATACGGCAAACGAAGTAGCTTGCGCTGGCTACACATGTGTTGTTATGTAGGTGTCAGTTTGTGTGATGTACGGCTTGAGATAGGATAATATGTACAACTATAAATAACTCTGCAGTCGGTTGTCCCAATGCGTTTCGTTTTTGCTGCCGGATTTCCCCTCACGGCAGACGGTCTGCGTTCTGAGGTGACTTTTACCTAAGCCCCCCCCCCGCCTCCCCACCTCACCCACCCCCCCTCAAGCTTGTCAATAACATCTCGTGCAATCTGACCCCCTCTGGTATCGGCGGCCTCTGAAGTCATCAATCCTGGTCTAATCCCAGCCCAAAGGAAATCTATTTGTTCTGAGCTCACGTCCACCGTGGCTCATTTGTTGCGCATACGATCTGAAGCCTCTTCCCTCCCCTTCTCCATTAGACCGGGAGCTGGCTCTGAATGACTGCAGGAGAGACGTTCCTGTGTACAGTGGGCTTTACAGCGGTCTCACCTCCTAAGGAATGGGGAGGGGAAAACCCTTGTGAGAGGATAAAACAGTTTAGCTGCCCCGCAGGAGAAAGTGCTAAGGAGTTACCTATTGATGTATCGCGATCTTCATCTCTCCTCCTCTCCCCAAACCTTTACTGCAGTATACTGGGGCATTTGAAAGGGGGCCACTGGACAATGATTTTTACCATCGCCAACCTCCCCCCCCACCCGCTCGGTTGACAGCTTTGGCCGTTGCTACCCCCAACCCTCCAGTCAACGACTACCCTAAAAAAATAGGGGGGGGGGGGGACCACTATTACCTCAAATACCCCAGGGGTCCATGGCCATGTTAATGTGCCTCTGGGAGTGCAGGAAATCTCTGGACGAAAAAAAAATAAATAAAGAATACAAAATAAAATAATTGAAAAATAAAACAGCCAGCCAAAGATGTGACCGTGCGAGGGTTCGCACGAGCCAGGAACTCCTGCGCGCGATATGTGCACAAGGTCGATTTTTGTTCAGCGAGAACACAAAGCGCAGAAAGATCAGACATCCGGCTACCCAGGGCCGCAGCCCTAAGCGGCCAGCAGAGTAAATAATGTCGGAATAATGATGTTCCTCTAGGCTCACCATGGCTACACGGCCATGTTTCTCTTACTCGCTTTTTGTGCAATTTATAACCACTGTATATTTACCACATTAGACATATATTGCGTCCGCGGCGATTTCCTACTTCAGCATATTCATGACTGACACTAGCCAATAAATATACCGCGTATTTAACGGCCTCTAACATCTTATGGGTAATCACAGCATATGAGCACTGTAAGTCACTCTGATCAATGGCGTACACCAAATTAAATAATAAATAAAGTCGAGGGAGGAGTACACTTTTATTGCGTTGGTTGGCCGGAAGAACGGGACAAAGCAGGGCATGTCAGTCGAGCCAGAATGTTGACTGGGGCTGCTGTCAGGCCGAACGGCAATCCAGCATAATCTTAATTCATTCTATTGTGCATTATTTCTAGCATTAAAAGTCCCATTTTAAAAACACTAAACAACACATTATTTCACCAGTATCAGACACCACTAGGCTGTAGTGTGCCTAGCTCTCACATATTAAATAATCAGGCGGAGAGTTTCCTATTTTTTCACTTCCGTTGAAAAGCCAGTTGACATTTTTGCACTGAGACTAGACAATCGGCCTTTTAAAAACCAGTGCAGGAGACCTTGTACAGCATAGCGCAGCCAAGAAATGTTACAGTGATGCTCTTCCTGAGCTAGTTGTCTAATCATGTGCTGATAATATGAGTAAAAGAGTAGCAATCAAATGCTGACTAACAGAGCCACATCTAGTATTATTCTCTATTAAAAGCTATTGAAAATGGCTATAATAATGTTTTACAGCTCGGTAACCTCATATGCACGTCTTTCCAGGAAATCTCTGTAAAAGTTGCTACTTTCTAGAAATTCCATTTATAGCAGTCGATTTTTTATATTCATTCGTCTTAAGTTTCAGCAGTTCAGGGGTACCTTGGCGTGCCATGTATACCTCTCAGCCAGCAAATTAATCCAGGTTTGCTCGAGAGTAAATGGAAAGCCTCTGTAATTGATTGCACTTGAATGAATCAGTTTAATCTCCTACATGCAGTACCCGTGCTGATTGCCCAAATCAAAGAGCAGTGTATGTAATCCCGATATTTTCTTAATGCCTATATTTTGTGGCCATTTTATGATTACATAGTGCGTATATTTAAAATTATTTTTTAACAGTCAGCCTGTAATCATATTAGCTTTTGCATAGTCTGACGAGAATATCATTCTTCGAAAAGAACTGCGGCTGAAATCTGAATGGTAGCAGGAAGGCTATATGGTTGTTCGAGCTGTGTGGAATCGAGAACTGCGGGTCGCTTGTGGCAGGTGCCGTAGTGACATCTAGTGGCGGCACGCGAAAGAGCACCACACTGCCATTTTGTTCTTTTGAACTAGGATTTGCAGGAGGACCCTGGCACTGAGAGGAAGCTAGCGTTAAAGCCGTCGATCTCGTGTGTGTGAAATATATCAGGGTCACAAACACCTGGGCGGCAGACATTTGCATAATTAGTACGGCCTGTGCTGAAATGTTCTCGACATGCATATGTTCACCGTCCTTCACCAAGCGCATAGAAAACAGATACAGAAACATGATGAGCAGATCAGTGTCTCTAGGTCAACGTTTGTACATTTAATATCTACGTCTGATGACCAGTCATAGAAGGGACTGGTACTTTCCATCATGTAGCAGTCTTGCATCTAGCTACGTCAATTTTTTTTTTTTAATAAGTAGGATATGTGTATTATTTCATATGGCTTGGTTTTTTTTTTTAACAGAACGAGGCAGCGAAATCACCTTATGAGTCACAAGACGGCGCCTGATGGCGGCCAATCAGGAGGAGCCGTCCGTCATGCGGGGCTAATCACAGCTCCCCGGGCAGCTTTGGCCATCCCCGCCCCCGGGAGCTCTCCGTTTCTGCTGATTGCCACTGACAATGTCATCCACCCCCCTACAGAGTGCAGAGTCACTCTCCCTACGAAGGTTCATGGCTTCAGTCTAGATTATTCCCAGTGCACTTCAATAAAAATGAAAAACATTTTTGTTATGTATTCAGCGCTTTAGTTGCTATGCTTCCATTTTGTAAGGAATTAAAATAAACGTTCGCATCCTCGTATTTCACACTAACGTTAGTAATAGCATGGGTCGTTTGTGAATTACCTACTGTCCTTACAAAAAAGACTCACTTGCTTGATAGGAGAGATTTATCGGTCTGGGTTTTATTAAAACGTACGTCGGCGGCTTTAAGTTGTGGCCCGCAAATGTAGGAGGACAGAGGGGTCACGGAACAGAAGAAACATTGAGTGCATTCGAGAAGCAGACATTAGCTACTGATGCGGCAGGAAAGTAAACACGCGTTCGGGGTATCTACATAGGTGTAAACAAAGTCAGGTGACTCCAGCAAGAGTCATGTGACTTTAGAGCACTATTTTTGGAAGGACTGATGTACAGTACAACTGGAAGCACCCAGCACCAGGAAAACAACATGAGACACCCGCACGTTTACCTTTTTCCACCAGACCCTTTTAATGACTGTAGAAGCCACCGTCATCGGGCTACAAACATTTGAGAAAATTAACATAAACTACTGAGAATTAGGTTAAAGTGGATCTTGGCACACACTGTAACGATGAGACTTTGACCATACCACAAGTCCATCTCCCATTCTTCTGACAACACATATAATGCATAGACAGCAGACGCTTTTACTGTGGCTCAGGTACGGCCCATTTCACATAACACACACAGTTCTTTGTCGAAATACCACTTTGTGTCACAATATACATTAGAGGAGGTTCCCCCAGAGAGCTGGGGTGTGGATCAGCACATTTTTGTTCATTTTTACAATAAAACGTTCAAGTTCTTTAAACTTATCAAATAAAATAATAATAAAAAAACAACAACAAACGTATCTACAGAGACATGTGCAAGAATATACATTTGGTACTAAGGCAATAGTTGTAATTCCACAGGACCAACGCTGTGAAGCTGTTTCGTTATTCTCGATGTTCAGCCAGATGCTGTTCCACATTCACACGACGGGTTGTTGGCTCATTGAATTTCAGAAGTCCTGTATACAATTTATAGCACCATTGTAGTTCCCTTCTGCCTGTCCTTCCCTTCCGCGTGTATTCCGAACTGCAGAGGCGGTATCCGGTCAAAGGCCTGAATGACGTCTTCTCCGTCGTTTACCATTATTATCAACGTAGATGTAAAAAATAACACAAAGAAACAAACAAACAAAAAAAGAAATCCCTTTTTTGGTCAAAAACCAGGACCGTTGAATGTAGCCGTGCAGGGAGAACCAGGTCTGCTGACGTGGAGTCTGATCCGAATTCATCCGTCGTCGTCGAGAAAACGCATTTATCTGCTTTGAACTAAATCAACACGGCACGAATTCGCCATACCAGGAGCCTGTAGTGAATTTCCTTTATGATGTGCAATAAGTGCGCAACAAGAGCACAGTACTGCAGTAGCAGAACAACACAAAGTGGACACAGATGGAAAATACAATATGCACGGCTCCACTAATATGTTTTTTTCCCCTAAACATTTTTTTTGATGGACATGTGCCACAGCTAATAGCAAAAGAAGCAGCGAAGCTTCCTCCCTATCCATCCTCATGCATGAACTTATAATGTCATTTAAGACAACAACAAACAAAAAAACCCAATAATCATCGAGACAGTTTTGAGATGTAAAATGCTGATTTAGCTAACAAGTCTGTGGGCATCGAAGGCATTTGGAATTGATCACAACGTGTGCACTCTTAATGGGACCTTTTGGCTTCACACCTGAAGTACATTTTGGCTTGTAGCATCTGTGAAGATTAAAGTTGTCATCAGACGGAATCTCCGGACGCCGTTTTCGTTGGCCGACGTTCTTCGGTTTCTCGACGCGCCCAGTGGCGTTTAAGCACGGCAGAGGTACGCAGTAGCAGGGATCTCCTGCTGCAGTCTTGATCCACGTCTCTCTACGAGGGTCTTTAATTCATAATACTAAAGCTGAAGAACGGACGCGCAGGTATTCAGCCAACTTTTTACATGGGCACGTTGTCGGGTTTTTCATGTTAGAGTGCGTGCCGAAGCGCAATACTTTAGATCAAGGCAAGAAATATTACAAATACAGCACAAAAAAATAAAGGCCCTTTTCCGCTTTATTTTTATATGCTCATAAATGTAACGCTGCTTCTGCCGCGGGTCCGTGTCGCATCAGCTGAGTCAGATTCATCATATCGATATGACAGCCTGGTGCAGATAGGGTACCGCAAGGGCCTCAGTCAAGTCACATGACCCTTTCCCAGCGTCCATCATGGTGAAGCATGGACATCACTACTTGACGTCTGTCAATCACCGCTAGTCTCTCCTATGAAGGATACAACAGTTTTATTTTGGTTTATCGTCAACTGCCTTTTCCTCCCCCACCAGCAGAGGGGGCGTTTCATTCAGCCTATAAAAAAACTTGGGGTGCTTTGAGGTTCTTGGATTTTTTTTTGTTTTTAATTGTTATTTTTTGGTATGCAGGGCTTCCTGGAACTTGGTGCTGGTGTATCGTATATGGAAGCCCTTCTTGCTAATGGTGTCATCACTATGGAAAAGCAGCAGCATGGTGTCACCGACAGAATAGATCTCCTCTCGGGGCTGGAAGCGGAACAGGAAGAAGAAAACAGTAACTTTTGGGCCCCCTTAATGTAGTGACCATTTGTGACCAAAAGGGGGCGCCACACAAATATGTGGTTTTAGTGGTGGTAAACACCAGCACTGCTTACCCCTGATCCACAGAAGCGGCCCAGCCTCTGGGCCGAGCTGTCGTAACCATCGAACAGCTCGATGTAATCATAGCCGCACTCCGCTTCCTCCTCGACCTCGAACGTGGTGAAGGTCAGCTCAATGCTGTAGCCCTTCTCAGTCGTTATCCTCCACTCGCAGTCCATGTGTCCTGGGTAGTTGTTATCCCCAAACTGAGAGTGGGAGTACAGGTTCTTCTGCCTGGGCTCCGCCCTCAGTCTTCCACCGCACTCTACGGGACAGGCAACGTGGTCACATGACCAAACAAGAACCAGCCCCCGAATCCTGCCACGCTGTATTAATGCAGATGGTTTTATATAAGACAACTTTCTGTATATTGCATACAAATATTGCTTATATTGTCCCTATACGTTTGTGTTGCTGTTCAGAAATGTCTACACATAACCTTGCCATCTGCAGTAACCACTGTATCTATCAAATTAAAAGCTAATTGTAATCCAACAGTTCTAGACATACTAAAAATGGTGGAAAAAAATCACGAAGATTTCCTCTAGCGTACATATAGTATAAATATATCAGTGATTATACATCTATATATTTTTAATATTGGTGTATGAGAGTTTCCAACATTTATGTATATACTGTTGCACGGACTGGATATTTTTCACCGTCGGTACCATCTGATTTAAGGTAAGAGATTTCCGAGAGATAACGCCGTTTCCTCCATTTTTAGGAGCAAAGTCATTTCGACTGAGGCTGCAGCTATTAACCGAGCCTGTTACTAAAAAGCGCACAATAAGGAGCGGCTGCCAAGAGCAACCCCAGGCTTCCTGGAACAGGCGACGTCAGAGGCGGCGATCGGGACCCTGTCCTGTCCATTACGCAGCCGGGAGACGGCGAGACCAAAGGCTGTTCATGAGCCGGACCCCAAGCACAGTGTCCTTTGAAAGGCAGCCTATGCGATAGTGGTGCTTGCTGCCTGTTATGCTTCATAAATACCGCTGCTCAGTTTTCAGACAAACAACAATAGACAACAATGCTTATGAAAAAAAATGATAATTATATGTGTTTATAACCATACTCTCTCTGCGTCCTGTCTGCACCTTATGTTACAGACTATCTCATGCATATTTTGCACAGAATGTATATTCATAATTTATCTATAATTTATTTATACTTAATTGTATTTATTGTGCTCTGGAATACATTGAGCCCACTCTCTATATATTTTTTTTATTTGCATTTATAAATCCTGGTTTAATCCTGGTTCTGCTGGCAGAGGCTACACTGTGAGGCAGGCTGCTTCCAGGCTCAAAGTTTCTGAGACAGCAGTACATAAGAATAAGGTGAAGCAGGAGACACTGGGAACAACCAAAAACCAGCCTGGCAGAGGGCAGGAGTGACTTTCTAATGCCAGAAATGACTGTCAGCTTATCAGGCAGTGCCTCATAAATCGGACGACGACCTTAAGTGACCTTCAAAAAGAATGGGAAGCATTAAGTGCAGGTGTGAAGTGCACTGCTAGGACAGTTCATATCAGGCTCCTAGAAGCTGGACTGAAATCCCATAAAGCAAGGAAGAAGCCCTGCTATATCTTACACAGCCGCATACCTATACATTGAGAAATAAGGGAAACTTAAAACGTTGCAATGGTCTCTTCATTTTTTCACAGCTGTATTATATTTGCACCTGGTCAGATGCTAACTGCGTCTCATTGGCTCTGTACCAGAACTCGGCACAATAGCAATAAAATCTAATATAATCTAAGTGAACATATCCTACGATATACAGCAGGATTCTTCAAATCTGCACCTCGATTCCAAATCCAGGCCGTGTTTTCAGGTCTCCCAGGTAGTTGGTTTAATAATTACTGATTCTGATTGGTCAGAGGCTTCACGCCTGGCTCGCGGGTAAAGGAAGGCTGGAAAATCAGCAGGGCTCGGACCTTGAGTGATTTGAATAACCCTGTTATACAGTATTAACGCTGGTTTCTACTCTTATTTAGCTGCATTTTTTTTTTATGAGATCAAAATTCGGTAAAAAATGATAATAATGTTAAATCTACTGGTCTGTAATGCAACAGTGATTTGCTGCATGTAATTATTTTATTTGGTATTGTAAAATTAATGTCTGCCTAAATAGAAAAAAGCTGATTAACATTGTCATTATTCCTAAATTGAATTAATAACGGCACAGCCACTAGATGGCACTAGAATATTTAAGCGTTCTTGGGAAATTTACTAGCTAAAAAAAATGGGAGCGATGAAAAACCTTACTGTAAATTGAATTGCAGAGGTAGAGTCAGAGGTGAAGGGGAATAACGATAGGTGGACAGGGGCATTGTGGGAAGTGCGGTAAGGGCACGGGCCACCCTCACCCGCGGCAAGGCTGACCTGTGGAATGAGTGGCCTGGAAGCCAAGCCTCTGCACGGAGGCGTCGGAGATGAACCTGAGGTACATCCTGCTGCCCGTGGAGATCAGGGGCTCCGGGAGTTTACTGCCACACAGGCGCCCGAGGATGGCTGCCTTGTTGCTGTTGCCGTCGAAAGCCTCCAGGTGGTCGTAGGCGCACTCCTGGTGCTGCTCGATCTCGAACTCGCTGAAGGACTGAAAGAGGGGGAGAGACGGAGGGCCTTCAGCGTTTCAGAGTTCACTCGTCGACTGTGCGGACAGCATTATCTCACAATGGTTCTTTGAATCTAACGGAAATAACAAATTAAACAGGGAGGAGGGAGTGGAATTTACTCAGAAGCCCTGGGGGATCTACAGATTTCGCTTGCTGTGTGTCTGCCTGCCTCTTGTAGGCCGAGGAGAGGCTTTCGTGTGGCTTCATTGATTTCTGAATCTTCAGTTAAACTAGATCTGAATAAAAAAAAACTCTGAATTCAAGTTAGGTGTACGAGTAAAAATGATTTGCCCAGGATTAAATAAAATACAGTTTAAAGTTTTTAAAAGTAGCTGTGTCGCTTCCAGACATGTAATCCTTCTAAGACAAAGATTCAAAGCTTTATACAATAATGTATTTGTTTTTATTTTGTTTGGTTACTTATGGTTAAGGTTAGGGCTGGGTAGGGGTTAAGGTCATTGTGTTGGGATTAGAGTTTTCCCCATAGAAAGATATAATTACAAACCTCTGTGTGTGTGTGTTATATTTATATTACATTGTGGGGACCATTGTGTGTGTGATGAACAATCTTACAGTTACAGTTTGAAATCATTTCTGTTCTCTATTTGTTTTTCTGTAGGTCTTAGTATCCTACACATTATCACCATCATATTTAGGAGGGGGGAGCCACTTCTCAGTCAATGTGCATGACTGGGCTGTATACAGATGGCAACTGTGTAGGAAGGATTTAATGTTTATCTTCATTCAACCGTGCACCAGCCATTGACAGTTTGGCGAGTCTGTTTCACTTTGGCAAGTGAGCTAAAGACATGCGTTCCCCACACATGTAGTGCCAGAACGGAGACTCGAACCCCAGCCCCTGAGGGGGGGGGGCCCACAGTGTTAACCGCTGCACCGCCATGCCACTCCCCTCGCTGGCCTTTGCAGAGAAACATGAACAGGCTCTGGGAGGATTACTCCCCCCTCCCCCTCCCGCTGTCATCATCAGGCACGGGGGATACTCTCTCCTAAGCAGCTAACCCTGTGCAGGTTCAGGCTGGGGCAGATTTAAATGTGCCCCGCCATCTGTTTGCCCCCCCCCCCCAACCCCAGTCTTCAGAGCAACTTTTTGAAGCACCTTTCCATTTTCAGACAGCCATGCTATGCATAACCCCCGCCAAAGATATTAAAAGGTCATACGTGGATCCATTTCAGACAGACTGCAGCTTCATGGGTCTTCTGTGCGAATAGCAGAGGCCATTTCTAGACTGGGGGAGGGGGGTGCTGTTTTCACTTTTTCACACGGCTCTCTTATATCTAGCTGGTGAAAAAGCAATCTCACCACATCCCCCATTCCAGATCTGAAGACCCAGAACTGTTTGCAAAGACTTTGTTTAGTTTTTCCAAGGAAGTTCATGCTTCCTAGCTAAAATCCTTGGAATTTAATTCTCAGTCTATGTGGGTCGGAGGAAGGTGCAATTCGGTGATGAAATCCTAGAAAACAGAGCCCCCCGTCGCGCAAAATAATAGTGTACCGCGACAGCAAAGCTACTGTAATCTCGCCAAAGCAGCACTAGACACCGACAGCTGTCCTTGAAGGGCAGCCTATATAAACCAGAAAGATTAAAAGAACACATGTATGAAAAAGCAGGAACTGACCGTTTAAGAGAGCACACTCTCGACAAAATACGACAAAACGATTAATCCGGTAACAGCCATTATCTGTTTTGTCTTTTGCGAGAATTGTCTTGCTGTCTTTGTGTTTCATGATCTTATTAGGATTTACTGTGCATTGAGCCTTTTAACCAGACTACAGCTAGCTGCTTATATTATGACATATCACTCTGAAGGGAAAATGTGCTGGCAGAAATGGCAAATTACAGTCATTTTGTGGAAATTGTGTACAAATAGTTTATGCAAATATTGTCATTTGTTAAATGATTTTTGCTAATACATTGTTATATTGAGTAACCTGGTCCTTGGGTACCCACAGATAGTCCATGTTTATGCTCCTTCTCAGCTCCCTGTCAGACAGTCCACATTTATGCTCCCTTTCAGCTCCCTGTCAGACAGTCCACATTTATGCTCCCTTTCAGCTCCCTGTCAGACAGTCCACATTTATGCTCCCTTTCAGCTCCCTGTCA